AGATGAATAGCTTCTTCTTTAGGCAACAATCAAGGCTCTCATAGAGTTTTTACAGTGATGTAACACACGCCCAGATAGTCTCTCTGCATTACTATCTTTTTAACTATTTGTATTTCAGAAGTAATTATTTTCACTTGGAAAAGCATAAGTATGCTTCACCCAAATGTTGTACATGACGAATTAGAATAATTAGCTACAGAGAGATTAATTCTATAAAACTTAAAGATGGTCTACAGATTTGAAAGGAGAAATGTGATATTGTGATAGAGTATTTTCCAAACAAACATGTTTTTTAGTTGAAATGGAATTAACCAATGTGTTACAAATTTTTGAAACTTTTAAATACGTGTAAGTAAAATTAATTCACCTCCACAGATACCCAAACTCTCATTTCAGACCTACCCTTGCTTTTGAAACAAAACCTGCTTTACTTTTGTTTGGAATCCTTATTGCTTTGGTATCCAGAATCAGCATCAATTGAGACTTTACATTCACTGTCAAAGACTCTCAAATGTGCTCTTAACTCTAGATTTATCATAAGTAGCAGCCAAACATACAAAGGTAGAAATTAGAAGGAAGTTTATGCTGTTTATTTGTTGACAATAAAGAACAATATAGCCTACTTCCAGAATATTAAGTAGGACCAGCAGTAACAGAAAATAAATGGGTATGTAAAATCCAAGTAGGATGAAAAACAACAAAGTAAAATGACCAGTTTAATAGTTTTCTCTGTCTTTTTTTTTTTTCAAAATGAAATTTAATTTGAAACTTACATTCAAGTATCTCCCTAAAGGTGCTTCTTAAGATCACACAAATATTTTCAAAGGTAGTTTATTGAAAATAAAATATCATTCTTCCTTGCAAAAGAATTTCAAAWACCTATTCTTTGCAGCAAGTCAACATACAAATGATAATTCAGCCAATTTCTCATTCATTAATTTGAAAACCTCTGGAAGGCATATGAAAAAATTTATGAAGTTTACATTCCAATTGACTATTAATTAAATAATTACTAGAGTGCAAAGGATTTAATATATTTTTGGCTTACAACCAGAAGGGAAACAAACTCCAATACACCTGATTGGAAATGATGGAAGTAAAGCCATTCTATCTAAAATATTTAGAGAAATATATAACAAAATTCATTTTTTTCTGAATAAATGAAATAAATCTTTTATTATCATAAATTTAATTAACTATATTTAAATATTGAATAAAAGCMATTTTTGAAACCCCGCATTAGAAATACATCAGATGCCTTTATCTTACTTAATCTTTTGAGAACCAAAAGTATAATTTAGTGGGAAAAGTTTTTCCGACACTAGAACTGAAATATGTTCTTTGTAATTTATTGAGTCAGAGGATGTACTCYTTTTTTTCTAAATCTTGAATATAAAAATAGTTCTAGGAAGATCACTAAAAAAATTAGAGAAGAATTCTTCAAACAATRGCAGTGCGTTCACCCATATGGTACTCGAGGTGGGAAGGAAATGACAGGGTAAAACTACTTTGTTGGTTTTGAAATTATTTCAAGAAGAGGAGACAGCTGTGAGGCCATGCTCCACGGGACTCAGTCCTCATAAGAACTCCGAGAGATGGGAGATTACTCTCTATGCATGATGGCATGCACTGTGATTTTGGACAATTCATAATCACCTTTAGGGATTGTAAGGAGAGAGCGCATAACTCCCAAACACCACCAGTTTTTATCCTGGCCTTAGAGAAAAACAAACAATATCAACAATTTGTACTCCACATAGAAAATGATGAACCCTCCCAAAGCAGCTGTCTCTTACAACAGTCTAGCAGGAAAGTGGAGACACCATGAGACAGTGGTACATTACACTGACTATTTTCTGTCCAGAAGATCTTCACAAAACTGGCTGCTTCTCAGACTCTTGCATGATTCAGCCCAATAACATGGTCTCACCAGTCCTTTTCTAACTACATCAGTGGAAGCAGCCCACTCTTCACTTTTGCCCTGTCATAATCTTCAACAAAGCTCATTGTTTTATTGCCTTCATAGCATTTATCCCTACTGTATGATATTTTCTTTCTTTTTTTGTATTGAAATACTTGATTGCTTAATTCTTCCTAATGAAATATAAAATTTCTTGAGTTAGTGACCATCAATGGCCAAAGAACCACTGTCAAGCATGTGACAAATATGCATCAATATTGTCAGAGGCTGGGTATGGAATGTTGATCAAAGCCTGACTTCTGCTTGCAAGTAGTATACAATGTAGTAATGTAAAACCTATATTAATGTAGTTAGGTAAAATGTGTGTGTCTGTGTGTGTGTGTGTGTGTGTGTGTGTGTGTGTTCACAGTGGAGGATCATTAGACTAGTGCTTTATAAAGATGATTACGACTACTCTGTAAAGAATATCTATTTGGCAAAAGATAAAAATAGTGTGGGTCGACCATGTAAGAGGTTATGGCAGAAATGATGGAAGTTTACTGATCAGAAAGGAAATAACTAAATATATCGCAGAAATATCAAGAAATACAGTTGAAAAAACTCACTTCTGGATTGGATATGAAGGATAGATTTCACTTGCTTGAGTTGATGAAATAATATTGCCCTTCTCTGAGGGAAAATATTGTAAGGAGACATTGTAAGGTGTTAAGATCGTGATCTTTGGCTTTGATAGGTTAGATGATTTCATAAGCAGCTTTCATGAATTTTGATTTTACATTTCTTGAATTTGTATGAAATATTTATCCATATACTACTCAATCTAACCATTTATTCTTTAAAATAATTTTGGTCATTATGTGGAATTCTGCTGTTTTGTTTCACGCAAYATAATGTATAAAGCACTAAGTATTCCTAAATTCCAATTGGACAATTTTCACTCTAGTTAAAATTGATTAGTTGATTCCTGGCAGTTTTATCTGTAAGGAATGTGATATTAATAACTTGAAACCTAGTATCAAGACCATATGTCAAAAAGAAAAGATAGGGGAGCCTCAATTTATAATGTATCAGTATCTAAACTGGAATTGTCAAAACCTGTTACATTTAATATAGACATCAATTCAAATAACCTTTCATAACATCATATTAGAATGATCACTGAGCATCACTAGGCATTTGGAGCTATGACACCTCTCTAATATATTTAGCCTTCACTGTTGATTATCTACCCAATAGATAGTAAAGCCATGTAAGGGGTGTTTTAACTAGGATTATGCTGATATCTGTAAATGACATATATTTTTTAAGGCAGCACCAATATGTATTTTAATTCATTAAGAGAAATTATCTATAGTTAATCAGAAGACATTTTGTTTTCAGTTTCTCATCCTAATTCTGCAGAAACTCAAATCATGTTGAGTTTACTTTGATGTTACTTTCCAGAAAGATGCTTTATATCTCTGCAGGCTACACATATCAATCCTCACATTTACACACAATTTGTATATGTGTGTGTGTGTGTATGTGTGTGTAAACACATAATCATTCTAAAATGCTGAATAACTAATGTTCATGTTATGATTGATGTGAACTCATGTAAAATTCAACTACTTTAAATAACTTTCTGAAACAGCAACAGTASTCTAAACTAATATAAATGCCACATTTTTAACATGTTATAAATACTACAAATACATTGCACCCTCCAAGAAATAATTTAAGAAATGTTATCTTTCTGAGTAAACAAAAGTAAATACCAATTTGTGAAACTATTTTAGGAAAGCCATCAAATCAGCTAAACAAGCAAACTGTTCAAACACATACCAAGTGGTTAAGGAAACAAGAATTTGTTGATAATATTAAAATGAAAACAAAACCTCCCACCATTTACCATTTTTGTTTCATTGTATTTTTCCTCTCACTTTAAGAAAACCAGCTTTAATCATTGTGATTTAATTTTAGACTAAAACTAAGTGAAATATACACTCCAAATATTTAATCTGCCTCAATAAATATATAAAAAGTACATATGCTAGTAATCACTGGAAAAACTGTAAAGTGTAAACAACGATATGGGCCAAAGTGATATTTCAATCCTTTCATTAAAAGGGAGGTAGCTCAATAGTAAAACACTTGTCTAGCATGTGTACTGCAGAACTAGGAAAAAAAAAAAAAGAGACAAAACTGAGAGGTGCATTTCCCWTTTGGAAAGAGTAAATGATCAGTCAGTAGTGTCTATCAGTGCAAATGATTAGTCATCATAGTTTACCAGGATTCTGTTTGGGTAGCAACATGATTCTATTGACAATCAATTGTGCTCTGCTGGATGTTTAATGCAACATTAACCAAATGACTATAGTGACATCCATCTCTGAGTTCCGTATCTCAACACGTAAGCCTCACATCTTTCATTAAAAATATTTTCAAGCAGTATATAGAAACTTTTCAAGTGAAACTCATGAACTATTTTCCCTGCCCAATACTGAGAAACTAAGGWATATCATACTCAATATAGGGAATATATACTTTCAGAAAATTTATTCCGGTAGTTTTATTATTTTATTATTTCCTATTAATACAAAAAAGTAATATTATATAATTTGAAGTAAAATATATCAAGAAAAAATAAACGTATTCACAATCCCAAATCCAGAAATGACCACTGCTAGCATTTTGACATAGTTCTTTCCAATCTACTTTATCCATTTGTAATCAGTAATACAATTAAAATCGTACCACACAGTTTTTATTATCTCACTTTTTTTATTAATATTGTGTTATAATTTCCCATGTTGTTAAATATTATTTAAATCAAGAATTTTAAACTCTACGCTACAAACCAATTGGTTAGATGTATGGTACTATATTTAAGAGGTAATATATTTACCTCTGAAGAAGCATAGAGGCTTCTTCAGTTTTAAGGCATTATAACATAGAGCAGACATAAAAAGAGTCTAAATTAAATTTCTAGAYAAAAATAATATAGATAATGAAAGGACTGTTTTACCTAAGTCACTGCATTTGGAGACTCATTACTTTAAAAAGGTGAACATCTCTAAAGGCAGGTTTTTAAATGTTCTCCATGTCCCTGGGACCACTTGCTGTGATAGTGTTGAGGAAWACGCCTAAATTTCTGCTATGAGCAGCTTCTGTGATATTGCCTCAGAAATGAGATCTCAGGTAGGTTTTGTCTTCTTACAATAGGGAAGAATCATCTGGAATAGCTGGCATGCTGAGCGTAAGGGTTCACGTCTGTAGCACCACAGCAGGTAGAGATCTTGATTGTCAGAATCAACTGTGAGTGCTGTATAARATAGTTATCACCATGATGTGCATCGACTGGCAAAACAAGAACGATTAGCTGTGAAATGCTTATTCATAATGTAGGTTGCCTCTATGGTCAAAGTAAAGTGGAGAAATAAATGAAACACTAGATAATTTAAAAATCAATATCAATAAACTTGATAAAGATTAAAAAATCCTTTTAATAAATAACTCCAAATTGTTTTTAATAAAACATTTCAAATATTGATTCTATTTAATATTTGGAAAATTCAACAAGACTGTTAGGTTTTAACTTTAGAGTCTATGAACTGCATTATTATGTTCTTTTTATTCCACTTTGAATTATTAAAGTTTCTAAAATCCCAAACAATAATGTTTTAAAAAATGAGAATAACATGTGCACTATTCAGTGTGTTAGAGTTCAAAGTGTCTGAAAAAGCCTGCATGCAAACCCACCAATTCAATCTACCTAGTAATTGGCACCATGCAGAGGCTAATCAAAATCTGCAGTGCGATTAAACAAGGCTATCTAGGACAGCAACTAGATAATGGTTACTCTGCTCCTGGAGGAATTGGAAAAACAAATTTAGAACCTTGCCTCTGGTTCCCAGTCTATTCCCCCTGAACAATTATACAAATTGGCATATGACTTTTGGATCCCTCTTCAGTGATTGAATTAGGAGGAGTGCTTGTGTTCTCTTTGGTAGTYATTTGAAAGAGGAAAACAGCTGTTTGCAACATCCCCTTCCCGTGGGTGCTTCCTAACAAAGACTCAGTGTCTCCAAGAAAGAAGTGTAGGTTACCCTTATTGATTACATGACAGTTACTATGGGCTTTGCTTTGTTCACAAAGTAAAAAATACCCTCATCAGAAAAAAATTAAAAAGAAAAAACAGAAACTCACCCACTAGAAGATAAAACTTTGTTTCTCACATTTGAAAGCACAGGTTCAGAATGGAAAAAAGATTTAAACCACCAGGTGGATTCTGCCATTTTGGGTAATCCTATCAAATAAACTTTTAATTATTCCATTATCGAATGAATTTGAAAGATTAAAAGTAAAGGAAAATAATGAGAGTAACACTGGTAAGAAATAAATTAAGTACCTTGAAGAGTTCTGTCATCTTCTATTAAATTAACAGAATCAGAGCTAGTTAAGGAACTAACTGAAGAAATACTGKACTCTAGGAAACAAATAAAGACAGAAATAAATAACAGGCAAAAAGACATGCACAGCATATCATGTATATATATATGTGTATATATTTTTTTCTCAAGAAACATAGTTTGAAATCATTGTATCCTGATCATGAAATCACAAGTTGAAAAATTAATCAAATTCTCAATGAAAAAGTTTCTACTAATAAGGTCTATTAATTTTCATGGTGGACAACTCTCACTCTCCATTGATAGAGATATTGAATTTAAAATATCTTATAAATGTCAAATTCAAAAGCTAAGAATTACAAAATCAAGAATGAATAGTATTGTACTACATAGTAAATATTACAGGTGTAAATTTTTAAAATCCCAACATTACCAAATTTAGAAAGTAAGAAATTATTTTATAAGRACATTTTGTTTGTCTTTTAACACTTATATTTTAAAGCAGTAAATCTATTAAAAGARCAGACTATAAAAATAACATTTTTTGTAAAAACAATAAATCCTTAGATGTTTCTCATTCTTAAACTATAAACAATCCTTGAAATGACTTTTTCATAGATTGCCGGAATAGATAATTTTACTAAATGTCAATTTGATTCTGAAATGCTCTTTTCATTTTATGAAATCTCTCAGTCTTCTCAGGATGGCCAAATTTTCTTTTCAGCCATGAATATGTAGGACAGATAGYTAGATTAAAAAATGAGACTGGGTAGAGAGATGCTGACCTGTCATCCACTGCAAGGAATGGAAAGTAGAAAATCTTTGAACCAGACTCATACTATTCCCTCTTTTCTAAGGAATTAGGTGATATTTTGTTCATGCAAAATTATTGATTTTTAATTAATAATRTATCCTATGAAATCTCAATCAATACAGATGCCACTTTTTTTTTTTCATTTTTGATACTGGGGATTGCACTCAGAGGCACTTGACCACTGAGCCACATCCTCAGCCCTATTTGGCATTTTATTTAGAGACAGGGTCTCACTGAGTTGCTTAGTGTCTTGCTTTTGCTGAGGCTGGCTTTGAACTCATGATCCTCCTGTCTCAGCTTCCCTGAGCTGCTGGGATTACAGGCGTGCACCACCRTGCCTGTCCTAGATGTCAAATTTAAAGTGGTATAAATGCCAAATTTAAAAACTTAGGAAGTACAAAACCAAAAATGAACACTATTGTTCTAACTTAGAAATATTACAGATGCCTATTTTTAAAAACTACAAAATTACCAAAATTAGAAAGTAAGAAGTTAAGCCATACTCATGAAACAAAAGCTGACTTTCCCTTGTTTGTAAGAGTTGGAGGCCTCATCAGTGTATCACGGCTAAAGCAAAGCAATGAGCCTGGGAAGCACTAGTGCCAGGAACCACCTATCTTCTGCAGCTGTTCCTTCCCCATCAGCAGAACTGTCAGCTCCCTCCCTTCAGTTCTGACCATGACATACTGGCCAACAACACCCCACAATCACACTTCTCATCACATTCTCCAGGAATATTCTCTAATGATAATACAACTTACTTCGGTAATACTGATTTTTGGCCAGAAGACATCCAATGGAAGGTACTGTTGCCATGGTTTGTCCCTTGAGAGATGGAGCAGCAATCYGAGGAAAAATAACCAGAAAAGAGATGTTGATAAATACCATGGAGTTTCCTTTTCCCTTTTTACATGTGAATATTATGTTGCAAAGTAAAATCATTTACCATGTAATAAATATCTGGAGAAGGATTTTAACAATTTACCTGGAATTGCAATTAAATAGACTGCAATCAACCAAACAAGATGCAATTAACTAGTATATTTAGTTGGAAAAAAAAAAAACTTACATATTCAACTACACATGGTGCGAACACAATTTACTCTGTCTAAAACAAACCAAAGGTTCAGGAAAAAATAAAAGTGTTAACACAGCCAGGGCGCAATAACTCACCTATTTGTTTTCTCCAACCTGATCTTCTAAAAATATGTAGTTTTAAAGTTTCTTCAGAAAAAGCACATTCTGAAARCAGTACCACCACAGTGGCAGTTGATGTGGTCGAGAATCTGTGAGCAACCTTATATTTAGAAGCCCAAGCTGGCTRGTGCCTGAACTATTGGTAATTTGAGGTGAGGTGGCACACCGCCAGGCCAAGGCAATGACTGAATGCTCTCTGCCCGTCTCTGCCCTCCAGCAGTCCAAAGGACCTTTAGACTTGTCAGCATGCCGAGTTTCACTGCAGTKATAGGGAAGGATTTGGCCTTGACCCTGTTTGGGACTCACTCTTTAATGCCACATCTTTTAACTAACTGTTGATTCTCTGGAGGTAACTAATGCCCATGTATCTCTTCCACCTTGAGTATAATCACGTACTCTACCAAAGGCACCAAGCTGGACAAAACTGGGGATGTTGTGGATTGTCTGCAGTCTAGCTGGGGAGACTGAACATACATATCCACAGGCATAATGAAGCAAGGCAGAGTCATAGGTCAGAGGAGAACAATAAAGAACTCTGCAGATTTGGAGACTTTCTGGGAAGGGGGTATATACAGTGGAACTGGATAAATGGACAGATAGAAATTCCAGAGGGAATAACAAGACAGAAATCATGGATAATGTAGGGAAATTTGTGACATTGTATCATTATTTATTGAAGCAGAAACTTTTATTTGAATGTTAGGAATTTTCTTATGTAGATAATTTTGCCATTTGATAGACCCATTCGATTGAAGGATCAAATCTTGACTCCCCTTTATATTGAGGAGTTATCATTTCAATTACTGCTTCAAATTATTTGGAGTTCTTAGTTTTTCTCATGTATTCTTTCTTAAATCAGTTTTGGTAATGTATACACTATAAAATCATTGATGGCAGCTACTTTTTCAAATGAACGCTAAACAATCATTGTAGTTTATCCATATGTTTTTGTTTTTTAGTATTGACTATACACACAGAAAAGGGGAAAAAACTTTATTGTCTCATTTACATGTAGAATCTAAATAATATGTATATATTTGACAAACATGATATATCAATAGTCAGGGAAGAGGAGGAAATTGGAAGATGTTGGCCAAAGCATAAAAGGTTGCAATTTTGTTTTGTAGAGTAAGAGTAGAAATCTAACATTGAACATGAACTATAGTCAATTCTACTTTAATGTATTCTATAAATTTGCCATCAGAGTAGATTCCAGTGCTCTTGTTTCTTTCTTTCTCTCACTCACACATACGTGTTTGTGCACACACACACAAAGGTGTTTTTTTTTCAAATATCAATGTGAAAAGATTGATATGGTAACTTGCTTGTCAGTAGTAATAATTTCACTACATACACGTATATCAAAACACCACGTTAGCCTCACACAGTGACACATAACTGTAATCCCTGAAAGCTGGGAAGCCAAGGCAGGAGGACTTCRATTTGGAGGCCAGCCTCTACAACTTAGCATAACCCTGTCTTAAAAATAAAATAATAAGGAAAATGAGCTTGAGGATGTTGTTCAGAGGTAAGCACCCCTGAGTTTAATCCGCAGTACCATACACACACAMAAAAAAATCATGTCATATACCTTAAATGTATCTAAATGTGCATGTGTATATGTAATGAAAACAATAAAAATATGTAAAAATGTTATGTAAAAAKGTTACAGAATGTACATAAAATTATATATAATATAAACAAATACTCCATCTGGATATGTTTATTTAATTTCCTCTTCCATTTTTCCTGATTTYGCTACAGATTCAAATACTAAATTATGTTTTTCAATTGAATATTTGGTATTATCTTTTGTCTCTTGGTTCTATCATTATTTTCTGTCTTACTTTTATTGTTCCTTTTAAAAACTTTAAAATTGTTCTTATGGAGGTCTATCCATCTATTTCAAAATATTCTGTCACAGCCTTTATGACTTTTTTTTTTTAATTGGGTGTTAAATCCAGGCACATTGCCACTAAGCTACATCCCCATGCATTTTATTATTTATTTTTTTAATTTTGAGACAGAATCTCAATAAATTGCCCAGGCTATCCTAGAACTTGTGACCCTCCTGTCTCAGCCTCCTGAGAATATGGGATTACAGGTGTGCACCATTGTTAGAATTGTTTAGAAATGCTTCATTTTATCCAAAATTATAAAGATTCTTAGAGTTCTCTTAGTAGATGATTTTTAAATCTACCACATTGTCATGGAAGAATGCGTGAGTTTTATTTGTTCTTTGAAATAGTTTTTTGAACTAACTTTTGATGCAGTTGGTAATTAACAAATTTTCTTCATTTACCACATTCTGTGTCCACTAGATTGCATTATTTAATTTGTTAAAGAAATAATCCATATACTTACCAATGACTTATCACTTGCTCTACCAGTTTCAAGCATGAGTACATTATACAATTCTATAACTTTTTGTTTGCTTAATTTTAAGCTTTGATGTATACATGAAAATCATAATTAGAACACCTTCTGAATGAATTGTTTCTTTTATCTTCCTTATTTGCACTAATTTTATTTTTGTGATGTTTTTCTACTCTAATGTTGTTTTTTTCTAAGTAGTAAAAAGTATATCTTTTTGCATCCCTTTGTTTTTAACTTGTTCTATTTGAACAGTCACATAATTGCCATGACGTTTTGAATGTGTTTCTCTCACTGTATCTCTTTCTTTACATAAAGTCCGTTCATATTTTTTGGGATTACTCTCATATTTTTATTTCCTTCTGACATCTTATTCTCTGGTTTYCATATAACCACATCTTTCTTTTTACTTTATTAGCTTTTGTTAATGTATTTATTTAAATTGTTTCTTATAGATCTTTATTTCTTTCCTCTTTGAGAAACAATGTACAGTATTTTAGTATTGTTCTTTCAGTGGGCATTCTTATTTTATAATACCATAGGCCTTAGCTATAATTTAGTCTTAACTAACCTATTCATCAGTCACACTGCTTTTATCTTACTTACTTATATTTTTATAAATCCAGTACTGTGCAAGAAATGTACATTCTATCCAAGAACTCATCTTCTTTTTCATTCTGGAAATTCTCAAGTTGCTTTACTTCAAATGTTTCTTTTCCCTGTACTAATTTGTTAGATCCACAACAATTCTTCATAAACACATACCCACAGCAGTGAAGGAAACAAACATGGATTTTTTTTKTGTGTGTACATGTTTGCAGATGAACTGAAGGGACTCTCTTTCAGAGAATCCCTGTARGTTGGCTGGAACTTGGCTGAACTAATTGGAGTCAGCTCTATGTGCCCGTCATTTTGCTCTGAGAACAGCAAGCAAGCAAGAAAACCTATTGCATGTTTTCCACCAGGGATTGCATTGAGACTCCCAGAGGAGTCATTGGTAATATGAAATGACATTTTAGTTCTGTGTCTGAAACTATCACTTCATCCCATCCTCCACTGAACAGATCATAGACCTGAAGAAATCATATGCCTAAAGTCAACAATAATGAAGTAGGAAAGTGTGCTACTCCCAAGAAGGGCTGGGGGTAAGAGGAGAAATACATATTTGCTGAAAAATAATTTAATCTATGACACCCATCATGTCTCCCGTTTTCTGTCACTAGTTCTCAAATTAATTAGTTATTTGGGCTCTTTCTATATAATTCTGACATTTCCTCCACACACATATGTGTATATATGTTAAAAATTGTATAAGAATATAAATTTATATAGTCTAAATTTTGTCATTTGTACTGTATTCTGAATTAACCCTACAGTATTTCTTCCTGTTTAATATTTTTCTATGTCCAACCTAATATATATCATGTAGATTATTTTTTATTTTAGTGATAATATTTTTTTAGTATTATTTCTCTTCATTTTTCTCTAAAGCCATCAATTCTAATTTTCTTGGCTTTTTTTCCATAAATCTTTTATTTATTTTTCCATTCTTAATATGGTTATTGTGAAGTCTTGGGTTAACTGCTCCACAAAGTTAGTTTTATAAATTTTATGTCACAACTGTTAATCTGTTGGATATCTTTCTTAGCATTAGATTTCTCTTACAAGTTTCAGACTGTTGGTTTTCAGGATCACTTTTGAGAATTAGACATAGGTATACTATTCTCCCTTTCCCTATACCCCCTACCCCAATTCTCAATGCCACCACCAGCTCTCATGGCTAGTGGAATCATGGTGTTTAGGCATCCCTCTCACCTGACCCTAGTTTTAATATCTTTCAATTATAACACTGCTCACGTTGCACTGAGTCATTTTTTTATTTCACATATTAGGTTACAAACTACTCAAAGATATAGACTCCTTGTTTGCTTCTGCTTCAGCCGTGTCTGCACAAAACACAGCATAGTCATTTATGTCTAAAAATGCAAAATAATCAAAACATTCTTTTTGTGGTCATAAGGATTACATTCTTGGCTAATAATGAAAATGTTGTAATAGAGCTTAGATTTCCTTGCTATATCTGACCTAATTTGATGAACTTTTACCTGATTACTGATTCACAGTGTTTTTATTTCTTTTTTTTTTTTTTACATCTGAGAACTTAAAATAATTACAATCGCATTTTCATTGAGCCTTTTGCCCTAGAATTAATTTCACTCACATTTCTCCTTAATGGTAACAAGAAGAGAGTGTCTGTCTGATTTGACATAYTGAAAACCAGCAGGAGCCACAGCCATTTTGCACGTTTCTGCTCAGACAAGTCACAAGATGATTTCTGAATACACTTCCTTAAGTTGAGAAAGATAAGTTTTTTTTTTTTTAAAAAAAGAGTAATAATTAAAAGAGAAATGGAAGCTTTTTGAAAGGTAATCTATTTATCACATGTAAGATACTATTACCCTTTCTAAGTTTATTGGCATGGGATGCAAGAGTAAATAGATATCAGATTGCTATTTTCCAGAGCATGGAAATTCATGGCATGAACAACAGTTAAGCTTGCAGATAATTCATCATTACCCTGTACTGTCACAGACAATTGGCCAAGTGTGCAGTAGGAGATCAATATCCAACTGCACTCATAGTCTTAAAACTGTCCAATCTGGAATTATAAAAATCTGAGTGTGCACACACAATGTTAAGAATTTTAAATATATGGTAATATCTAATA